ACCCTAAACCCTAAACCCTAAACCCTTGTTAGTAGCGGGGGCCCCGGGGGGGCCTCCCGCCTTTGGGGGCCCCCGGCCGGTCGCGCTGCTGCTGCACTCCGGCTCCCTTTGCGAGTAGTTTCTGCTGCTGGAGCTGCTGCTGCTGCTGCAGCTGCTGCTGCAGCTGCAGCTGCTCCAGCTGTTGCTGCTGCTGCTGCAACTGCAGCTGCTGCTGCTGGATCTTCTCAAGCAGCATCTGCGTGTCCGTCTGTGGCTGCGTCTGCTGCTGCCGCTGCTGCTGCTGCCGCTGCTGGTCCGTCCTGCTCCTCCTGCTAAGCTTTACAGTTTGCTGCGGCGTCTCGGTGGTTTCTGCTGCTGCTGCTGCATCTGCTGCTGCTGCACTTCTGCTCGTTTGCTGCCGCCTCGGCTTGGTAGGGCTAGAAGGCGCTGCGCGTCGCTGCTGCTGCTGCTGCTGCTTCAGTATTGTGGGAAACCCTGCAGCAGCCAGTGCAGCCTGCTGCAGCTGCTGCTGCTGCGCAGCAGCAACAGCCTGCTGCACTGACAGGGGCGGTGCAGAGAAGCTCATTGCGGCAGAGGCTGCCACAGCAGCAGCAAGCTGCTGCTGCTGCGCAGCAGCTGCTGCTGCTGCTGCACCCCAAGAGCTGCTGCCCGCTTTGCATGCAGCAGCAGGAGGCGATATGGCCCCTGGGAAGCCCAAAGGCCAGAAGGGGCTCATAGCGAAAAGAGGGTACGGAAAGGGCTGCTGCTGCTGCGCTGCTGCTGCTACTGCTGCTGCGTTGTTGCTGCTGCTGCTGCCCACGGACTGCGCAGGCGCCTGCAGGGCCTCGCTGCTGCTGCTCGACATAGCAGCAACAATGGAAGCATAAGAGCCGCTGGCCGGAGATGACGCGCCCGAGGACTCTTCCTCCTCCTGCTGTTGCTGCTGCTGCTGCTGCTGCTGTGCAGCTGCAGCCTGCTGCTGCGGCTGTTGCCGCGCCCGACCTTGCTGCTGCTGCTGGCGTTGTGACTGGGGACGCTGCTGCTGCTGCTGCTGCTGGCTCCTTCCTTGCCTTTGGCTCTGTTGCTGCTGCGGTTGCTGCTGCTGCCGCTGCTGCTGCTGCGCTGGCTGCTGTCGCTGCTGCTGCTGCTGCCTCTGCGGCTGCCGCTGCTGTCGTGGCTGCTGCAGCGCTCCATAGTTAGCAGCTTCAGGCGCAGCAACAGCAGCAGCAGCAGCAGGAGGGGGCCTCGCAGCAACTTCCAGCATGGGCCTCGCCCGGCGCCGCATCGCCTTTTGCGTTTCGCAGTCTTCCTGGAAGAGCAGCAGCAGCAGCAGCAGCAGCAGCAGCAAAAGCGGAACAATGTAAAAGCAAGAAGCCCAAACTGCTGAGCGCACGCCAGGGGGTATGTAAGCCTCAAGAACACCGCAGAAGCAACTGCTGCTGCCGCTGCTGCTGCTGCTGCTGCTGCTCAGCAGCAGACACGGAAGCAGCAGCCGCAGGTGCCGCAGCAGCAACAACAGCAGAAGCCGCAGCAGCAACCACACCCGCAGCCGCAGCAGATGCCACAGCCACAGCAGCAGCATCCACAGCAGCAGCATCATCTACAGCAGCAGCATCCACAGCAGCAGCAGCAGCAGCAGCAGCAGCAGCTGACTGCGTTGACGAAGGCGAGGTCTTCTCTGGAGATTTGTCCCTCTTTTGCAAATTCATTTAAAACAGTAAAGAAAACTCCTCCTGCTGTTTTGCGGCGGCTGCCGTCCGCCACCAGCATCCCGCCTGAACACAGCAGCAGCAGCAGCAGCAGCAGCAGCAGCAGCAGATTATAGGCCAAGAAGCAAACGGGAAAAGGGCTTTTGGAGAAATAGAAAAGATGAGGGAAACTAAATTTAATTAAATAGGCCAGTTACTCAGACAGCCTACAGCACCTTGCTGCTGCCGCTACTGCTAGCTGCTGCTGCTGCTGCTGCTGCTGCTGCTGCTGCTGCTAACCGAGGGCTTGAATCATGAGAGTCTGCTGGTAAGCCTTCAGGCAGGGCAAAGTGCCCAGCCGCTGCACAGCGCGGAGAAGCTTCGACTTCTTCAGCTCCTAAGCAGCAGCAGCAGCAGCAGCAACAGCAGCAGTGGCGGGGGGCTATGAAAAGGACTTTGGGCTTCTGTTGCTTCAATGGGGGAGCAGCAGCAGCAGCAGACTTGGCAGCAGCATCAGCAAAATTAGCAGCAGCAGCAGCTGTAGCAGCCAAAATTAGCGGCAGCAGCAGCAGCAGATGCAGCAGCATTAACAGCAACATCAGAAGCAACAGCTGCAGCAGCAGCAACGGCAGCTCCGGCGAACGCCGCCGCAGCAGCAGCGCAAACAGCAACAGCAATAGCAGCAGCAGCAGCAAGTCAAGACAAAAAAGAAAACAGAATAAAAAACAAAAACAAAAGGAGCATGAGCAAATGAGGGGACTTGAGGAAGCAAATAAATGAAAATAAAATAAATAAAAGTAAAATAAATTAAATAAATAAAATAAAATAAACTTACCTGGAGCCCCGTGGCGAGGACTTCAGCAATTGTTGCAGACACAGCAGCAGCAGAAAGGCCCTGGGCCCCCACAGCTTTTGCTGTTGCTGCTGCTGCTGCTTCCTCCATATTCACCTGCGGCTCAATTGCTTCCCGGTAAGACTTCAGCAGCAAGTGCTGCAGCAGCAGCAGCAGCACAAGCAGCAGCAGCAGCACCAGTTGCACAAGCAGCAGCAGCACAAGTTGCAGCAGCAGCGCCACTTGCACAAGTAGCCACAGCAACACCAGTTGCAGCAGCAGCTGCAGCAGCTGCAGCAGCAGCAGCGGAGTACAGCAACGAAACGATGCAAACTATAAATAAAAACAAAGAACAAAAAGAGAAAAGAAACTGCAAAGAAATAAAAAAGTCAAAAAGAAATAAAAAGAATTAATTAAAGACTCAAAAGAAAAAAGAAAATAAAAAGAAATTTAAAAAGTCCAAAAACGCCAAAAAAGAAATAAAACAAATAAAAAGGCAAACAAAACTAAACAAAAACGAATCAAAAAACCAAAACTAAACGAAAACAAATCAAAACTAAACAAAATAAACAAAACAAATAAAATAAACAAAATTAAAAAAATAAAATAATAAAGCAAGCAAAGTAAACAAAATAATAAACAAAACAAACAAAATAATAACAAAACAAAAAGAATAAACAAAACAAACAAAATAACGAAACAAAACAAATAAAACAGAAAAATTAATAAAACAAACAAAGTACCGAAACAAAACAAATAAAACAAACAAAAAAATAAACCAAGCAAAATAACAAAACAAACAAAATAACAAAACAAAACAAATAAAACAAACTAGACAAAACAAACAAAACAAAACAACAAAACAAAAAGTAAAAAAGCCAAACAAACAAAACAACAAAACAAAACAAATAAAACAAACAAAATAATGAAACAAAGAAAACAACAAAACAAAACAAAACAAATAAAACAAAATAACAAAACACAAGAACTGACCATGGACCTGTGGCCGTGCAGCTTGGCCAGGGCCTCGGGAGTGAGGCCCCAACTGTCCTGCTGCAGCAGCAGCAGCAGCAGCAACTTTGGTGCTGCTGCTTCCAGCAGCAGCTGCGCAGTTTGCAGATTGCCTTTTGCTGCTGCAGCATGGAAGGCCCCCCGGCCGTTCACGTCCAGCAGGTCCAGACGAGCTCCTAACAAAAATAAACAAACAAATAATTAATTAATTAATTTATTTATTTGTTTATCATTTATTTATTTGTTTATTTGTTTATTTGTTTATTTATTTATTTGTTGCTTTTTGTTTATTTGTTTTATTTCTTTTTTTGGCTTTTTTCGGATTTCTTTGAACTGCTGGAAACGCCCCAAGGCCGTCCAGACGAGCTCCTAATAAATAAATAAATAATAATTTGATTAATTTAATTTGATTAATTCAATTTAATTAATTTAATTTAATTTAATTAATCTAATTCAATTTAATTAATTTAATTTAATTTAATTGATCTAATTCAATTTAATTAATTTAATTTATTTGATTTGATTTGCTTTAAAGGCCCCACGGCCATTCATATCAGCAGGTCCAAACGAGTTAAAAACAAATTAATTAAAATAAAATAAATTAAATTAATTAAAGTAAATAAATTAAATTAAATTAAATTAAATTAATTAAATTAAATTAAATTAAATTAATTAATTAAATCAATTAAATCAAATCAAGTTAAATTGCATTAATTAAATTAAATTAAATAGACCAAATTGGTTAAATTAAATTAAATCCAATTCAATCGAGTTAGTCAAATCAAATTGAAATAAATAAATAAATAAATAAATAAATAAATAAGTAAATAGATAAACAAATGGGTGAAAAAATAAACAACAAAACAAATAAACAAATAAACAAATAATAAACAAACAAGCAAATAAACAAATAATAAATAAATAATAAATAAATCAAATAAATATATAAATAACAAATAAATAATAAATAAATAAATAAATAAATAAAGATAAATAAATAAATAAATAAATAAATAATAAAATACCTTTCTGCAGCAGCCACTGGACGTATTGGGGTTTATCTCGACAAGCCGCGTAGTGCAGCGGAGGCCTTTTGTCCGAGTCCAAGTCGTTCACTGCAAACCCCAAACCCTAAACCCTAAACCCTAAACCCTAAACCCTAAACCCTAAACCCTAAACCCTAGGCCCTCAGGGGGAGCCCTGGGCGTTGGGTTGGGCTGGACGCGAAACCCTAAACCCTCAAAACAGGCCCTAGGGTTTGGGCCTCATGCAACAACCCCTAAACCCTAAACCCTAAACCCTAAACCCTAAACCCTAAACCCTAAACCCTAAGCCCCAGAAAGAAAGGACAAAGGGGAGACAAAAAGGGGTTTAGAAGAGATAAAAAAGTGGCGAGAAAAAGAGAAAAAAGAAACAAAGAGGAAATTAAAAAGAAATTAAAAAAGAAATAAGAAAGAAAGAAAAAGAAATTAAAAGGAAACTAAAAACGAATTAAAAAAGAAATTAAAAAGAAATTAAAAGGATTAAAAAGAAAAAGTTCCCACCTGTGCTTCCGTGCTGCAGCAGCAACTCGGAAATTGGAATATTCCCTTTGATAGCAGCAAAGTGGATTGCTGCGCTCCACGTCTGCAGCGGCGCCGCTGCGCCGCTGCTGCTGCTGCTGCTGCTGCTGCTGCTGGGTGGGTTGCTCTCCTCAGCTGCCGCTTGGAGCTGTTTGCCGGGGGCCGCGTCTGGCGCCTGCGGGTCCTGCTGCTGCTGCTGCTGGTCCGCGGCAGCAGCAGCAGCAGCTGCTGCTGCTGCTGCTGCTGCGCTGCTGCTGCTGCCCCTGCAGGGCGCGCAGCGGTGACACAGCAGCCTGTGGGGACTCGCCCCAGCATCCAGCAGCAGCCGCACGCAGCCCAAGTGTTCCTTAGTGACAGCAATCAGCAGCGGAGTCCAGTGCTTCTTGTCCGGCCTGTCCACTGCTGCTGCTGCTGCTGCTGCTGCTGCTGCTGCTGCTGCTGCTGCTGCTGCTGATCCCGGCGGTGCCCCTGGCGCCGCGGGGGCCCCCCGGAGTGCTGCAGCAGCAGCGCAACGGCCTGGGCGACGCCAGTTGCTGCA